AGTGGATAAAAGCAATCCCTACTTTATTAGAATTTAATTCCCGACCTTAGCTTGTAGGTTATTTGGCTTTTCAGATTATAATAGGCCTTACACCTGCCTGTCGTATTTATTAATAGTACACAACACAAACTTTTATGGATCGTATCTCTGGGTGCAACACAAACTCGTTTTGCCAAACTTTTATGGATCGTATCTCTGGGTCCTGTAATGAAATCCAAATTTTACTGGTTTCACGCTTAAGCGAAGGCCTACTTAAGTAAGTAGGCATGTGTTTCATTTGTGAGAAAGTCTGGTCATGCTTGGTCCTTGTTGTCAGATTCAAGTCTTCGTGTGGTTTGTCAGCAACAGGAAGTGAATGATTGTCTTGTCAATATAAAATTGTTACCCTGAAACTCACTTTGCTGTAAAATTAATTATACTTATTTCCATTCTTCTACTATCATTTTTGCTGTCAGCGCAATATGTTGGAGTATTGACGTTTAATAAATATTGTATTTTTTTGGTATTGGTCAGATAATAAGTGATTAAAAATATAAATAAATGCATTATAGCAAAATAATTATAAAAAATTTAATTGGCTATACAGAACGTTGCTAGTAAACAGTAATTGGCAGAACACTTCTAGAATTGCAGATTTTACCATTAATTATAAACACGAAATAAATACAAACACGTGCCAACAAATTAAATATAATATTATATATTCTATATTTTAAAGTAAAATTATGTAACATACTTGAAATTGTGGAAGATTTAAAAACTAATTAGGTTTCTACACAGGCTTAATTATTTATTACTAATGAGAGATCTAGAAAAACAAACATTTGGAGTAAGGGTGTAGGCCTAACTTGACGATATAATTTGTTTATTTCTGCTTCTTGTTCTGTACGGAAGGAAAGACAGAGAGAGTATGATTCCAGAGATAGAGTATAATTAATTAATAATTAATATCACAACTTGTATAAAGGTTAATTTGGTATTTTACTTTTATTTACGTAGGCTTATATACGTAAATATATGAGTATTTACAACGTAAGAGATTTCATGCTTTATCAAGGCTTGATTTGTAAAGGATGTAGCTTAGAGCTAAGTACACTACTAAGTCCTTAACGCCAGCGAAGAGGGATATTTCATGTTTGAGACTGAGTACTGTGTGACGTAATAACGTTTTCAACGGCAAGACTTATGTTGTTAGTTCATTTTTGCAGAAATTTTAGGCATAATATTGAATTTTAAATTTAACTTGATAGTGATTGTTGTTATGTATTACTCCTAGTGACTGGTGAGTTTCAGTCGCTTTAGTTAAGGACGTACCCGGAAATAGTAATAATTCAAAGATCCAGATCATTGCATTTCATAAGCCACTTCAAGTCTATTATTGTAGTTCTTACAAAAGTTACGTAATTTTTTAAATATTTGTTGTAAGCCTAAGGTACTTGGTAGGCTTACATCCTGTTCTCTTACCACTTTTGGTTGTCATTAGCACTAGGTTTGTACTAGTAGGCCTGTAATCTATAATTTATTTTGTAGCCTGTCTCCAAACAACGCAATGTAATGCAGCTAAACTTTTATAGACACATTATTTCTTACCACGAGTCTCGGATACTCTAATGATTGTGTCTTTTTATTTTCATCATCAAAGAACATTACAGCTGATGTCGCTTTTGCAATAAATTACCCACAAAATCTCTTGTGTCCACTGAAATAATAGGTTATGACAGATTTTCATTGAAAGAACAAATTAATTTTGAAATATATTTAATTATATTGCTTACAATCGAGCATGAATTTATTGTTATAAAATAAGTTATGAAAGTTTTATACATTTATTTAACAAAATGAAGAATTACAAAGTAGGAGTTGGTGTTGAGTTTCGTGCGATACAATATTTCTATTTCATGTTTCCTTGTCTTGGGTGAATATCATAGGTAAGCCTGAAGTAGACATGTTGTCGCTTTCCTTCATTGTCTACTCTTGCTTGTACGTTCGTATTTACAAGCCAGTTCCACTTTAGCATCGTGTTTATGAACAATCGAGTAAAATGTTTTGTTTTAATTTTGTAGGCCGTTGATATTTTTAGTAGGTCCTAATCTATAGATATATTTTCAGCTAATTTCTTTAAGTAGCTCTATTGGATTGTTAAAAAGTAGTTTTAAAAGTAAGAACGAGGTTAGCCTTTGTAGTACACAAAATATAATGCACGAATGGAAGAGTAGTTTTAGAACCTAAATTGCTACAGTAAGTTTATAGAGCTTCTGTCTAATGACGCCTTCTACTATTACATAAAATTCTATTATGCGTAGCCTAAATTACAAAGTTACAGTATTGTGTAAGATGTATGAATCTTTAATTCATTTAATTTTTTTGTGAAAATTTATAACCTTTTGACTTTTGTTTTCCAGGAGCCATGTCTATTTAATGGTTTGTTTGCACATTGTCTTGTCCTCTTTGGCGGTCATGGAGATTCTGCTGTGAAGATGCTGTTCCAATTTGTAGTCTGGCTGATTTGAAATCCAAGTTATTTAGCACTAAGTTAAGTTTAAAAACGATTTGTTTTAAAATGCTCTTTTTGAATTTGTCTGTCATTTAAATTATTAAATTACAACTTTCTTAAAGCTGGATTTTGCTTCCGTTATCTGATAAAAAAGGAGTAGTAGTATCACAGAAAACCTATCTGATTGGTCAACTGGTTAAGGTCTGAGACTAGCTTAACCAGGGGGCCCAACACCCCTTCCATGCTAGATGAGGGAAGCAGAATCCAGCTATTGAAATGTTGTAAATTATATTTTAGATTTTGGACGAAGTCCAATGGAGTAACTTAACACAATTTAACCCATAATTCTTAGAAACCTTCAAACATCGACTAAGAATGATTTGTGTTCAAATTCGTCTTGTACATAACTGAGGCTCCTAAGTACGAAAAAGTAGGAACAGTCAGCAACTGCTAAGAAATAATTTTTCGGACGCAGATTTGTTACGTAACTTTTGGGAATTAAAATTGACCTGACTCTCTTTCTTACTAGATGAACGCTCTATTTACAGTGCATTTAAGTAGCAAAGAGAGCTAAGAATTTTCTAACGTAGATTGATTACTTTCTTACGCACTGTCATATAGAACTTCTTGAACGTCAGACTTTACAACCTTAAAAGTTGTGCTGTCTACATCAACTGAGTAACTGACAAGCCTAAGAAATATTTTATGTATTTGTAACGTAGAGATAAATCAAGTTAATGAATTCAATTTAGGGGAACACAAAGAAATCGTTCAAGTAAAAGTGATGCCTTTCCAGTACACCTTTAATAAAAGGAGAAGTGACAGATAATAATTATTATAATAATAATAATTATTATTCGTAATCAATAATAAGCGGTGAAATTGGTTTCTGATGTAAAAATAAATTTCCCCCGAGCCAACGCGTCCTGAATACGTATAGGGCAGTAGCAATGAAGCTTAATGATTTTTACCTTAATAAAATCTTCTCGCAAGATAAGCGATGTCAGTTGATTAAAAATCATCGACGTTTCAGGAACCATTTTTGTCTCCATTATCAAGGCTGTGATGTCACTGTGTGTTCAGATCGCCTCCCACCCAGAATTTTTACCTTTTCACTCGATGGTGGTTAATGATCAGCTTCACGTTCCCTCCGACTTGCTCCTCGTGAAAGATAACGCATTACGTATTGGACAGGAGATTGGATTCATCCTAGAAATCGCTTCACTGACTGAACTATACTGAGCGCACTTCCTACTAAGTCTAAGATAATTTTTTAAATAATGTATTATTTTTTCAGGTGTTTAATTGATTATTTATCAATTACAAACTTATTCTGTAGAGCTTGTTGGTGGAAAAGTTTTATTTCCAGAAATTTAGAACGTAATTCTATTGCATGATTTTTTAATCAGTCACTTCTTCAATTTATGTCATTCTTTAGAGCAAAATATTGTTTTTCGCTACTCATTATCGGACTCAGAATTTTGTTACTAGTCATTGCATTCTGAAAAAAACCCCTCATAACCTCTGTACCTGTATTTTAATTCACAATACGGATAAGGAGGATATTAATTTTTATATCTACTATTTCAAAACTTTCCGAAAATAAAGTTTATAAACAAATTTGCGTAGAAAAAAGGCTTAGGTTTATAAGAACTTAAATACCCACGATAGTGATAATTATTCGAACTGCTGGTGTAGCCATATCATTAAGGGTGATATTAGTGTACTCCTCTGCACAGAAACACCGTGTGGACTTGTAGGTAAATGCCATTGTTTCGGATAAACACATTGCCTCCACGTTCAGTTAGGATGTGTGTTCTTCCCAAACGAATGGGAGAGATAGAAGAAATACATAAAAAGTTTAGTGGGATAATCCAAAGGGAGAGACCACTTGAAAGACCTAGTCGTGGATGGGAATGTAATATTAAAATTAATCTAAGTGAAACAGGGGATGGCTGTTGACTGGATCCATGTGACTCAGTACAGGGACCAATGGCGGGTTCTTTCAAACACGGCAATGAACCTATTCGAGTTTAATTAAGGGCTGCAATTTCTTTATCGTCTGAGCAACTATTAGCTTATCTAGAAGGACTCTGCTAAATAGGGTTAGTAATTCACTTTACTTGAAGCTTAGTTTACTGTTTCTTTTGGATTAATTTATTTTTATGAATGAAATAATTAGACTTAGGCCTATATGGTTACTCGGCTGTGATAGTTTATATTAAATTGATTTGTAAATCATTCTTATGAAAATTTTAATTATCCAAGGTGATATTTTTAAATTTAATATGTGAGTTGTGAACACGGTAATGTATCTTATAGTTTTACAAAGGCTGGGAATTCTTTTATTGAATGAACGATATCATGCTGTATTCTTTATCTGCCAGTTTTTGTCTGTTTCGTTCAAAATAATTTTACAGGGTCCGTAGTAGAAATTTGTAAGTTGTGAAATTTATAACCTTAAGTTCCTCCAGTTAGGCTTACGTTATTTTATATTAACACTTACCCGAGAAGTATTTCAATTCCGTTGTAAGGTAATGTTTAGCTGAAATTCTTGCCAGGAGCACAGTATTCAGCGTTGGTGTGTTTCTTCTTAACAATTCAACTCCGACAACATTTGTGAGCTGCTTGGATGCTGTAACCAGTTTTTCCCCATGTGCTTGGTCCACGCATCATTATACTCAGTAGAGATGAACAAGGGTGTAGTTTTTGGGTGGGGTCACACACCACCCTGATACTGCAGCTGCGATACTAGTTCAGAGAATACAGCATTGTGGGGTGTGGCAGGGTATCTGCACCCCCCAAACATTTTTCAAAGGTTTGATCAATTGGTGGTTGTAGACAAAGATGAGATTTCCATGAAAGACTGCCCCAGACTTATTCTTTCCTGACGTGAATAATGTTGTTTAAGCGGCGGTTATAATTGAACGAATTTAGAATTGAAAGCTGCAGAGCAGTCAGTAGAAATATCTGCAGAACGCAGTGCAGAAGAGCATGGCTCGTGATGTAACTGTCTGCAGCACAGCCAAATGCAATCCAGGCACACCGGAGGAGAAATAACGACAGAAGGTAAGGTCAGACTTATTCGAAGAGAAATGGACACTTGTTTTAGTGTTCTTTCATCAATATGTTATAATGAACTGCGTTTAGCTCCCTGATTCAAAGCCATCAATACATAAAAAACATTAATTGTCCTTACGTCGTGATATTTGGTATAGACACAACATTAAAAAAACACAAAAAATACCCATCTACTCGACGTTAATGTCGAGGGTAGGTCTAAACTTCTTTGAAAACTGCACGTCATTTATTATTTATAAATGGCGGTTGTGCGAACTATTTATGCTCAGATTCGTGTGTTCATATTTAATAATGACACACTTTTTAATAATCCAGAGCCCTAAAATAAGCAATAAACTGCATGTAAACCTGCTTCGTCTGCATCTACCAGCAGGCGGAAATTTGTCCCCTGGTCTTGTTCTTGTGAACGAATTTGATAAATGACTGACTAAATGCGGTAAATGTTGGAAACAAGTAAGCCTGTGCGAGATAAAATATTTTAAAAATGGCAAAGCCACAATTTGATTGATTTTTAAACTTGCCGCGTATTACATCTTGTCACTTCAAAACACCTTGCTTCATTGCTACACAGGCGTCAAAATTTGAGTCGGTAGTCTATACGTTAAATTTCTATCTGATATTTGAGTTATTTAAACAGTTTGAAATGAGTTTCTTTGCCACATATTTGCAATAAAGACACGTGACATTTATTTTTTACCTAAAATTTCTCTCGCGACAAGTGGTGTGACATGTAAAAGCAATGACCTGGAGTTAATTAAGTTTACATATTTAAGAATTTATAATTATTTTATGCTACGAGCTAAAATTATTCGGTTGTTTAAGAGATTTTTGCTAAAACGACAAAATCTACAACATTCTTGTGTTGATAGTTTTTATATCTCTTTTGAAAAGTAATTAATTTATATTTTAATTAAGTTAAAACTAAGCAACAAAAAGGATAAAAACAAATGAAAATACAATCTTGTTAAGTTGTCTTTATTTTTTTTTACTTGAAAGCTGTTAGCACGATCGCAAGGGAAAGGTTTCCTTGCAGCTTCAAGAAAATACTAACATCTGAATTTACCCAATATCGAGATTAGAGTATAAATGTTTTCGGGGCCAGAGGAAAACTCTAAAGGCTTCTAAGTTTGATTGCAGCCCCAAGGTTTTCCGTAAATAATGGTCCTGGACATAGACCTCTTATTCTCTTGCCGAAAATAACGTTTGGTCGGCGTTGTACTGTTTCAAATTATAGGAGTGCAGAATAATTTAATGCGTTTCATGATAGTTTGATTCAATTAGGGTGGAATAATTGGTTAAAAATTAGATTACGCTAATTTTTTTAATCAGACTTTTTGTTTTAGGAAGTAAGTTGTTTCTCATGTATTAATTTAATCTCTTCTCTGTGTTCTTTGGTCTGTTTATTAATTATAAATTAACACGTTTTAAGTTTATGAATTACTTGCTTTTGTTGTGTTCATATGATACCCAACAGTGCCCGATTTGTTCCTGTTTTTTTAATTAACATAAATATTGAAATATCTATATTTATCTCTTGTTAGATTATTCTGAATTAATCTCTACATTTACGAAATCTCAAGAAATGAACATCAGATGTTTTAAATTAAAATAAGGTATACAAATTACAGGAAAAATAGACTACTTCGGTAAGTTATCAGCAAGGGAAATTTTATGGTTTTGTTATTAAAATGTCGCGTTCTACGAAGATCAGAATTATGGGGCTATGTTTATTTCTTTGCCTATTGTCCATTCGTCTTTTTATGAAATTTCGTATATAAACAGATTCCTAAGCAAATAAAAATACCTTGCTATCATATAAATATGGAACGTGACGTAGGAGTTTCTGTGTATATAACTTAGTTGATTGGTCTGGTAGAAGAAACACACTATGGAATTAACGATATATCCAATGCTTAACCAATTTCACACAACAGAGTCTTTATTGAGAAGCTAACAGTCGCTCAGCTAGACAAAAAATTCCCCTACTTTTATAGAACTCGAAGTTTTGTTACCGTATTCAGAGGATCCCATAACTAATCTTTGTTAATTAATTGAGTTTACATTATATTTATTTAAGATAAATTTTAATATTATTTTCCTATCTAAGTCATGGTGTCCGAAACGGTCTTTTCAATTAAGATTTCTCAACTAAAATTTCGTATACATTTCGTATCTGCCGCATGAGTGTTAAATGCCTCCTACCACACCTCTTTGATTTTATCATTCTAATAATTTTATTTATTTTAAACGAATAAACTGCAAAAATGAGGACCACCAGAAAAGTGGGGTTGAAAAATTGCACCTGTTAAATATAGCACACAAGTTATACGTCTGGGTATTTCACAAAATCCTGAGAACTAGAAATTCTGTGTTATTCCCTATATCATGGATTCTGTGTAATTAAGTTTTGCATGAATATCTAGCTTAATTTTGAATATGAACATCTCTTTGTGATTATTACCGCATATATTATGCTGAAAAGGTTCTTTCTATCTTAGATCTTTTCTATCGATATAAAACATTATATAGAGTAGAGTTTTGAATTGAGAACATTTTATAAATTCCATTAGCACAGAAAGGTTGCTTTATTTTCGAAACTTACAACCAACCTCAGCTTCGTGTTTGGAAAGTTTCGAAGTTTGCCTTGGAAATAAATTAATATTCTCATTCACTTCCGAAAATTGAAATTCCTTGCACTTTGAACTGACGGAAGTTGGAACCATACCGAATATAAATACCTCTCCTCCGGGCACAGAAAAAAATCTCTCTCTCCTGAATCTCGAAGTTCTTATTTTATGGTGTGATGAATTTTAATAAAAATGCCTTCATTTCTTTTAATGACAATTATTGGGACCAGGTAATCCGGATTTCCAAGTATGGAACTTTAAAGAAACAAGGAAATTCTATAAAAAAATATATATTACAGAGGTACATATATTGAATAACCACCTGTTTTCACGTATGTACAAATTACACGAACACTTTAAAACAATTCAGTGTTAATTGTATATGCTGCTTGATTTTAACAATCGATAAGCCTGCATTTTATCGATGTAGTGTATTTATGGGTTCCATACAATTATCCTAAACATTTTTGAGTTTAGAACGTAGAAGTCTTCCTCTTTCTATAGAGCGCTATTGATAGACAGGGTAAATGCCGAGCTATTTTACACCGCTCAATAGACTGAAAATAAGGTTATGGTAACGAAAGGTTGGTTTCCTAACCAAACTCGCACTGGAATGAAGACAGGTGCAGATATGTTTCAAAATTAAGCAGTGAAATTTATTGTGCTGTTTTACATACATATTATTTTCATATTTACTGGCACTGTATTAACTATACAGGTTGTGTAACGTAGATTTTAGAAAGACAGAATACACTATTTTTAAGAATAATTTTAATGTTCTTTCGTCTCCGTTTTGGATTGCAGAGTGGGGTATTTTTATTCAGATTTTCTGACTAAGAATATTTATGTTTGTAATTATGTATTTTTATGAAGAATTCTGTCTTCTGGGTTGCTGCGCTGTGTAGTCTGGTCGATGTTAACCAACGTTTCGGAGGTCATACTGCCTCCGTCATCAGGGCGATGAAACGTTGGTAAACATCGACCAGACTACGCAGCGCAACAACCCAGAAGACAGAAATCTTCATCGCCCTGATGATGGAGGCAGTATGACCTCTGAAACGTCGGTAAACATCGACCAGACTACGCAGCGCAACAACCCAGAAGACAGAAATCTTCATCGCCCTGATGATGGAGGCAGTATGACCTCTGAAACGTCGGTAAACATCGACCAGACTACGCAGCGCAACAACCCAGAAGACAGAAATCTTCATCGCCCTGATGATGGAGGCAGTATGACCTCTGAAACGTCGGTAAACATCGACCAGACTACGCAGCGCAACAACCCAGAAGACAGAAATCTTCATCGCCCTGATGATGGAGGCAGTATGACCTCTGAAACGTCGGTAAACATCGACCAGACTACGCAGCGCAACAACCCAGAAGACAGAAATCTTCATCGCCCTGATGATGGAGGCAGTATGACCTCTGAAACGTCGGTAAACATCGACCAGACTACGCAGCGCAACAACCCAGAAGACAGAAATCTTCATCGCCCTGATGATGGAGGCAGTATGACCTCTGAAACGTCGGTAAACATCGACCAGACTACGCAGCGCAACAACCCAGAAGACAGAAATCTTCATCGCCCTGATGATGGAGGCAGTATGACCTCTGAAACGTCGGTAAACATCGACCAGACTACGCAGCGCAACAACCCAGAAGACAGAAATCTTCATCGCCCTGATGATGGAGGCAGTATGACCTCTGAAACGTCGGTAAACATCGACCAGACTACGCAGCGCAACAACCCAGAAGACGGAAATCTTCATAGTCACCGCTGTGATAACCTCAAATCTTACATGTATTTTTATGTTTTTCCATTCGTGCTGCATGTCCTGCGAGTCTCGCATCTAGTAGTAGTAGTAACAGTAATAATAGTAATGACAACAATAACAAGACGAATAACAGCAAAAACAGCAGCAGCGATGTTATGTTGGTACAGCTGTTTCTTCTTCGCAGAGGATAAAGACATCGATCATCCTCCAATCGAGTTCTTAGTCATTAAGTCGAAATGGGAAGATTGAAAAGTGTCCCAGAACTACGTGGCAGAAATGAACAACTTTTAGCTTGTCTCCGTGCTGATAAGTAAATAAAATAGCTTGCCTGCGTGTTTCCTTGGTGAGCTTACTTGCCCCGTATTATGACGCGATGAGAGAAGATCGGAGGACCGAACAGAGAGGCAACGTACCGCCCAGGGCTCTCACATTTCCAGTATCAAAATATTGATGTAAATTAATATTAGTTGATGTTGTGCAGTAAAATGATGTTGGAAGCACAGAAGGTTGAACCTTTACCTGACTGATGCGCCGACGAAACTACGTCGAGTAAATATGCACGCCGCCTCGAAGGACAACTTTAGAA